TGTTAAAATTGTGTTAAAAATCTGTACTCTTTTCATTCCAAAAGTATTCACTGCTTTTGTTTTGCTCCATCATACAGATTCTGTAAAATAGATCAATATTTACGATTTTACTGAGATAAAATGTGAAAAAGACTAAGGATACCACATCAGTGACAGAGTAACATTTCTTACCAGTCCCCCTCACTGGCATGTAAATGTTAAAATGTGATGCATTGGTGATGTGTGTGACTGTCAGGCCTGTCAGTATGTGTGTGTGAAGGCTTTCAGGGGTCAGTGTGATGCCACTGCTAAGCTCTCTGGTTGGCTGAGCCCATCTGTCACTCAAAACTTGGCCAACCTCTGGCCCAGTCACCAGTCAGCCGTATCGGTGCTTTGACAGAATTATGAAGATTTCTGGCCGTTACTCATCGGCCCAATTGAATTACAAGCAGCACCTTGTTCTGTGCAAGGCTTTTTAACGGCTGATTTAAGGAACTTGCACTTCTCCTTGAACGTCACACACACTGCCTGCTTGAATGAGAGTTAGCATGGCTTTTGCAGAAGTGAAACTTTATTGCCTTCCTTTTCATACAACTCTTGCTTTGATTGATTTTTGATTGAGTTATTCTCAGTTTGTTTGTGCTTTTTGGAACTTAATATGCCACCAAGGCTTTTGTTTTCATCACACCGTTGCAGCAGTTTACTGCGAATTATTTGCTTCACAGGACGTCTATCCTGCGTCATTTCTCCCCACAGCACTTCACATCTGCTGTCATTTCATTACAGACGTTTATCTGACACCATGTGCCTGCCAAGACACTCTGGATAAATCAAACTGTTATTTAGTCTGCTTCCCCGCACCTGAGTGAAAGCAAAAGGCAGAAAATGGTCTTATTTTCTCTTTCCAGCAGTTATTTTTATTGGTGCAGCCAGCAGCTCAGTAAGTCTGTTTATCACTAAACATATTCCCAGTCAAAGAGCATCAGGTTTCATTGAGTTGGTGTGTGCTCAGCAGGTACAGTGCATTTATGCAGTCTGCCCTAGCGATCAAACAGAACCTGCATCTGAATAACTCTTTTTTTTCCAATCCAAAGCCACTTTGGCAGGTTGCTACTCGTTAGACCTCCAGTTTCCAGTCTCCCTACTGCCTTTGTGCTTCTTTGACTGAATGACAGGGTTTGCTATTTCTCTCTTTTTATATCTCTCTGTTTTTATGTCTTATTTGATTGTCTACATGCTACAGTTCCAATTTTGCCACCCATTCCTTTTGAATACGGTGATGGCATACATGCAGTTTAATCTGCACTAAACAGCTTAAGAAAAACTGTTGGTCACACTATGAAATACAACTAAATTAGACTGTACTATATAGTGTTAAAAGCAAGATCTATGGAATAGTAGTTAAATACAATACCTTGCAAAAGCAATAATGCCCCTCGTTGTTCTGTTATGATTAAACCAATTCAGAGTGTTGTAATGGGAAATCATGTAATTGACCAAAATAGTGTAGTAATGGGAGTTTGTGATAAAATTAATTATATGTGGGTTTTAAAAATTTAATGAATATTAAATAAAGTTGTTTGTGTTATATACCCGACGACCAATAAAGAAATCAGACAGACCAGATAGATATAAAGTTCTAAAGTTAAAACATAATTTTACTATAAAACAACCTATGGAGAAATTTTCTAGCCCTCATTTTATTAAAAAAAATTTTTATGGCACATGGCTTTCCAGTAGTGCTGTAGTCAAGACCACAACAACCAAGACCATGGAGTCAAGACCAAGACAAGTCCAAGACCTTTAGAGGCCAAGACCTCATTTAGTCTTGGTCTTGGTGTTGTTCTCTGCCTCAAAAGGTCTTGGCGTGGTCTTGATACTCCTTGGTCTCAGTTGGTGTGGTCTTGACTACAACACTACTTACCACCCTAACTACAGGGTCTGACACAGTAAGCAGTAATTAAAAAAAGAGTGAAGATAACCGTAGCTTCTGGGGAGATTCAATGATTTTTTTGTGTAATTTAAAACTCTGGTCCTTATGGAAAAGTAACACAAAAAGAAAGCTACTATTGCCAGAAAGCTCATAATTGTCCCATTTCATTTTGTTTATCAGCCATTTAAGGTAGCCAGCAAACACACTAAAAAAATCGAAATTCAATTTTTCTTAAATTAAGTGCATTTGTTCTTGAATTAAGAAGGTAAGTGCGACACTTTGCTAATGGAACAAGACAATTTACCTTTAAAATAAGAAAAAAAAATTGTATTGTCTTATTTCAAGTGCATATTGTCTAATTACCATATTAAAGAGTAAAAATAATCATTCCATTGGCAGATCATCTTCTTCACCTACTCAAATTAAGGGTAAATACACTTAATTTAAGACATTTTTTTACGTAGGCCATTTCTAGATTGTGTTTGCGGTGCACAGGAGAAGGTGCTGTGGTCAGGTAGGATAAATTCAAGTTTCTGTACAGTACTTTATTCTGAAATGATCCTAGAAAAGCCGGTCAAAGTTGATGTTAATAGAGTTGGATCTTAAACCCCTAACTGGAGATAAAATTGTTTGAAGCTGCAGAAGATGTGATGCCAGAGCTTGAAATGTTTTGCAAAGAATGTTGTAATGAATTAAGGTAAAACATTCATAGAAAGATACACCAAACTACTTTCACCTGTAAAGGGTGAATATTTGCTATAATGAAGTATTTTCTGAAGACGGTTGAATAAAAAATATGCAGCACACTATTAATTTCTTTCATTTTTGTTTTTAATTCAGACTCTCTGTTTATCATCCATATGTCAAGCTGCAAATTGGAAAATTTCAGTCAACTCCTGGGTATGTGGGCCACCCACAACTTGATTTCACTTTAAGTGCTTCTTGTTTCTATTTCTTTGTCTCTCCGGCTCCATAGATTTTCTTCTAATATTGGTCCCAGTCTGTCCACATGTCTTCCTGTATCTGTATATCTGTGGAAAAAGTAACCCACCCTTGGATTTTGGGTCTCTATCTCCAAGGTGACCTAGTCTTCAACAATCCTGGAACAGTGGTGCTCCTGTTGAAACCCAGCATGTTACAGCACTGTAAACACCAGTATCTGCACAAGGCTGCTTCACTTTTACTGAAGGAGCTTCAATACACGTCAAATGATATGAATTTGTGACACTGTGATTGCGCAATGGTAAATCTTTCTGCATTCGTTCAAGGATTAAGGCATCAGATAGTAGCCTACACTGCAAAAATTATCTACAAATGACTAAAAATGTCTTAAAACAGGTGTTATTAACCTTTGCCAATGGAATTACTATTTTTACTCTCAAAATAAGACAATTAGATATTATGCACTTGAAATAAGACAATGCAATTGTTCTTTCTTATCTTAAATGTAAATTGTCTTGTTCCTTTGGCAAAGTGTCTCATTTACCTCCTGAATTCAAGAAAAAATACACTTATTAGAAGAAAAAAATGACTTATTGAGATTATATTTTTTGGCTGTGAAGTAAGAATGTGTGTGCAGTTCTGACTGCTGGTACTGGATCAAGTAGTGCTGTTGGCATGAGCAGGGCCATGCTGTTAACCTCTTTGCCGGTCAAACTGATCTCCCCCTGTCTGTCCGTCTCATTGACCCAATGCACACTCTCACACAGACACACATGTAAACCTGTCCTTTCTAATCAGATTTCCACTGAAGTGAAAAATATTTAGCACTGTCCAATCACTACTATTGAAAGAGTCAAAAGCATTGAGAGAATATTTCTTTTCTCTGAGCCCAGTCAGTGGAAGACAAACCCTGATTCAGATTTATTAATCTCACTGGTTCCCTGCTGTCACCAGATCAGATTTCACTAGGTTCTCCACCATCTTTGAGTTTCATCATATCCTTTTATGTTAGAAGGGTTTCTCTCTCACAAAGCCTCTGCTCTGTGTGCATGCCCTTATCTGACATAGTTGTATAGTGTGGTAGTTATGTCATGTCAGAGGGCCCCATAATGCAGTCATTGAGAAATAAATCATTCTAAGCTTAAGCATTTTTGTTTTATGAGATGTTGTTTTTTCTGCAAAGGAAGATGTAAGGGTAAGTCAAGCACTGGAAATGGACAACAAGCTTGACAGATGCCCTCGAATTACAGCTTTTTGTATGTTTTGCTATTCTGTGGTAGAGCGTCATGATATGATGAGACAGAAATGTCACTCTGAAAGTGCTGTCAGTAGTAAATGCTGTTTCATAATCTTTTATTGGCTCTTTGTGTAAATGTGTAGTCATAAATGTGTAAACAGGGAAATCCATGCTACAGTAAGGAACACCTGGCCCTGTCTGCAGCCATAACAAACAGCAGGAGGGGATTAAGACTACATTTGTATTTATGCCAGCATGTTCTATGCACTCCGTCTTCGCTTTTTTTTCTTCTCTAAAATCTACCATGTAATGCAACATTGCTGCTTGGCATGGCTTCATGCTTGTAAGTTAGTTTTTCTTCTTTTTTGCTCTTTCATGAGATGTTCCCACTCACCCATGTGTCCCTCATTAAGGTTACGGCCTGGGACGGGCCTGCAGTAATATCCAGCACTTTGGAACTCATCTGCGAGCTGACCGAGTCAGAGATAATGTAAAGAGGTGGATACATTTGGCAAACTACTGGACATAAAGTTCGAAGCGTCTACAGTAGGAATTCATTAGGTGGAGGACTGATGGGAGAGGGGTCTCTGCTTGACCTGACCTCTTTTAGAGCTTGTGGCTAAAGGACAATTAGTGAAATTAGAAAACAGTTTATGCATATTTTTTTTTTTTCTTTCTGAAAATGTTTTTCTTTTTTTCTATGACAGAATCGGATCTCCTTTAGGGGGTTAGAAACTCAAAAACCTATGATTTGGCCACATCTACATCACCTCCTATAGGTCCTGACTTTTTTTGGTGTGAGAGTTGTGACATTCGCGAAAAACTGAATCCAAATAAATGCTTTTTGATAAAGATGATGAGAACTGAATTGCATCAACCCTCTAATAATTTTCTTTTTCTTATTTCCAGCAAGTTGCACCATATGGGCAGCAGTCGATGGGGGGATTCAGCAGGGAGCAGCAGGGAGGGCAGCAGGGAACCCCTCCGTACTTCAGTCCTCCTCAACAAACTCCCACAGGCCCATCCCAGAGTTCCTTCCTGCAACCTCGACCCCTTCCACAGCAGGTACTCTCCTACACTCTGCACCTTCATTAGTAAGATAAAGATGTAGGTTCTAGCCATAATCATCTCCCCCTATGCTATTACATAAAAATGAAAGTATTTCATAGGCTGGTGTTCCTACCCTTGCTTGACGTCACATCAATGGAATACCTTACTCTGTTAATTTATGCCACACTGAATCGAACATCTATAATACAATGACTATTTACTAATGTTTAGGTTTAAAGGGGTTTAATAAGACACTGCTTTAAAATCCCAGATATTTTTCATCATGTTGTTATGGTTGTAGGTGAAAGTATTTAGGGTTTACTACAGTCAAAGGAAGCATCAGTTAGCACAACTTTCAAAATAAAAGCACTTTTAGTTTGAATCATTTAGAATGTGAACATAAACTCTGATTGGCAGTAGCTTTTCCAGTTTCTTTTCTTTGAACATAAATGCATAACTATGTTTTGATGGGGTAGATAATATGCCCATTCATTCTCCAAATATGTTACATCAACTTATTGTATAGTGTGTTAGAAAAAAAAACGCTCTTTTTGATATTATGTGTTCAAATCCTCTTAAGAACCTCTACAGCAATGCAGCTTTATATACAGACTAGATGGTATGAATTCTAATGTGAATTTGCTTCATTAGAGATTGGACTTTCATTCATGGTAACTATTGGAAAATATACTTTTGGATAAAATACCTCTTGAAAATCTCAATTACAAAATATTTTTTTAACTTTAATTATTTACATGTACACTTTTTTTTACAGCTGTAGTTGTATAGGTTTCCTTTTTATTAAACAAAATCACATTCAAGTAAAATATTAGTAATCCATTTGTAGAAATGTCATATTATGTTTGTATTTATAATCAAGGTTATCATACTATGTGATGCCTGACATAACCAAAGTTAAATATCTTATCTGAACTCATCAAAACTGTGTTTTTAATTCAATAAAGAAGGCTGGTCCTTCCAAGATCGGCGTTTTTACCATAAAAGGTCAAAACATAGTTGAAAAGAACGTACACATGTATATAATACATTATATAGTACACGATTCAATTCGGGCCTGTCTCAGTGCTTCCACACATGTTGGAAATTTCGTATGCACAAATGTCCATCACATGTAAACCCAATTCTCAAAACAACAAAGGGTCTGGAGTGCAGATACAGATCGAGACTTCTCCTTCCAAGTTTCCAGCTGCTTTTCTGTGAAACATTTCCAGCCTGTAGCTGGAGTTCAACGAGTCGTGTTTTTGGAGTTAAGTGAAGGCTGCCAATGTGTTTCTCATCCTCTCTTAAGCAAGAGGGATCTGGTAGGCTGTATGGAACAACTGCGGGCCATAGCCCCGGCACCGAGTCATTACAGAGGAGAATAAAAATGAACGGGAGAAGAAAAAGGAACAAGATCGGCAAGACTGCAACAGAATTAGGCAGGAAAGAAGAGATCAGATTAGGCAAAAGTGGAAACAGGGTAAACTTTAACAGCCTTGTCCAGAGAAGTAAGCTTGAGTTTTTATTTTATTCTGGCTGTATAAGCATTAAACCTGATAAAGCTTGTTAAAGTCAGTAAATATTGGCTTTTACAGTCCACATTTCCCCATGCACATTACTGCAAATGCATGACAAGTGCCAGTATGTAAAAAGAACAAAATGAGCTTTAAGCTATCACAATGCTGATGTAAACTTTTTTGAGTTTGATATTTTTACAAATTTGCCAAAAAATAAAACTCAACTCCCAACTGGTTCATTGATCTGAATGATTTAGTAAAATACCTATAGATCGAATAAATATAAGATAAAAGTACAAAATATACAACAAAAAAAAGAACAGTATTACCTGCTACATGTCAATGTCTAGGCAGGATGTTTCCAGTGTAATATCGTGATATAAACCTCATTAGAGCCTTTAGACCTGACTCAGACTTGTTGAAAAATTTCTTGTAAACAGCTTTCAATTCGACAGACAGCTTCAGATCAGATTTGTTCCAGGAAAACTGCTTTCATTTTAGTCCATCGATACAAAATACCTGTTGAAACTCCTCATTGCTTTATATTTACTTAACAATGAAAGTGATTATGTGTACAGTACAGTAAAACGTCTACTTGCCAAGTGTTAAACCAGAACAAAATTACCTGTTTTCAAGTTCATACTTTGCTGATTTTGATTATGTAACAAGAATTTATCATAATTTGGGATCTATAGTAATGGAGTCCAGTACTCACATAAAAGGAATCTGGTGTGTTTGTTTTTAGGCCCATCCTTACAATATTTTGTTGCATGTTCAGTTTTTGTCCAAAATGTATTTTATAATTACATATATAGTTTAGTTTTATACTATATAAGCTGATGCTGAAGGAATTTTAATTAACAGAAAGGTAAGAAAAAAAGTATTTTTATAAGTGGCAATTGTCAGTTAACATAAACAACCACAGCAACATCCACCACGATCACAAAGGCAGGTAGTCACAAGAAGGAAACTATAAATCTTAGCACAGTTATTTACCTACAATTCAGCCAAAGTCGTTTTGTCTCTTACTCTTCTTTCCTCACCTAATGCATACACACGCACACAAACCATACACCCTACTGAGTAAACATTATTCACTCTAACAAGCAGAGGGTAGGATCTATGGCCACATTGACATTCTCCGACAGTAATGGTGTGTTTTCATCATCGCTGATGATACAGGGCCAATTCACCCACGTTGACATTTATACACCAGGTAGTTCAGCCCGAACACACTGATTGGCCCGAGTCTCATTCCACCTGTGCTGGTAGATTACTGATTGGTTACTATGCCAACCTCTGTGGAGCCTAAGGAACAGACTTCCCGTTGTTTCTCATTGTAATGCATATGCAGAATTTTTTTATTTCAATCAGAATCCACATTTGCATCGGAGCTGCATCCTGCTGCGTTTACCTATAATCAAGAAACCCTTCCTGTGGTATACATTACAGCTATAAAGCGTTTTCAGCCCTGGAAGCTCAGCAGGCGATATGTATGAAACCCTTGCTTCTATCTGAATGCCAATAAATTTGCACCTTTTCTTTAACTAAATAAGATCTGGATTTCCTTCTTTCCAGTTTTTTCTAGTTTATGATCTGACTTACCAATCAGTTGTCCACCTCCTCCTAGACTTCAGGCACATTTTGTGGAAGAGGAAATGTACACCAGAACATTATTGACAGAGAATAAAAAGCCCAATATTTGTCTTTAAATCTAAACGTTGATTCCTACACTAAAAATAATGACTAAATTCAAATAATCAGTCATCAAAAAGGGACATTTTATACATGATAAGCCTGCCAGTACGATAGCAAGGGTTCCTAAATTGTTCATTTATTGAAGATTTTATTGCAAATAAATACCAGAAATTATCAAAATGTAATTAAAAAGGATTAAAAAAGCTCACGTCTGAAAATTTGGGCAAAAAGATGCTTTTTGTCTGTGCAAAAAGATGCTTTGAGTGTGGTATTATTAGTTGTATTTTTCTGCTCTGAAACAGTGTATTTGTCCTATTCAGCGTTGACATGTGTGTCTCTGCTTGTGTCTGTGCATACACTAATCAGGCAGGCGTGGTGCCGCAATTCTGAGCTGTGAAAAGGTCAAATGGTGACCTTTGTCTGTGATTTCTAGGCTGAAATGAAACATGATGTGAGCCGCACAGAACGGATTACACACACGCACCCGTGCACAATTGCAAGCACACGCCAGATTACGATGTCATTGTGGTTTTGACCCATGTTTTTTGACCCTACATTACTCTGAGAAATCCAAGCTGAAAAGTTCTTTATTTTGTTTTTCCGGCGCTCTCAGCAGTTCGTTTTCCCCCTACTCCAGAGCCATTAACCCCAGCCAGAGGACATCCTCCTGCTGATGGAACCATTCCAGCTGCCTTTGACACATAGTTTGCTGTACAACAACCACTATTTGCTGTTTTTGTAGCAAAATGGAGCGAAAATGCCTTCCTTCTTTGATTGTGTTGCCCTATTGTGACCTCATCTGATTGGAAGAAGCAAAGCAGGATTTTAAAAAGAAAATTTTCTTTGACATCAGTATTTATACAGAAAATGAAAATGTATGTAACAGCTTAAAGGCAGATGATGGTAAACTGCTGGATATCAAAACACTTGACTGGTTGAGTAAAGCAGATATTTTTGAAATGGTGATGGACAAAGAGTGTGGATATTTATTTAAGTAACTAACATAATTCCAAAAAAGTAAAAAAAAAAAAAAATCCAAGTTTGAAGACGTTTCACTTCCTATTCAGGATTCAAAATTCAAAATGTCAGAAATAGCTTTGAGTTCAAGGCTTTATGCAGTAGTACAACAGGAGTGCAATATGCTGGTGAAGATTCTCACTCTTCCAGGTCATAGTAAAGCCTTAAGCTCAATGCTTTTTCTGACATTTTGAATTAAAAAAGCCTCCTGGATGGGAAGTGAAACATCTTCAAACTTGGAAACAGGGTCCAGTAGATTGTTTTTTAACTTTTTTTGGAATGACTATGACCTGGATGACTGAGAACATTCACCAGCATGACTGACATAATCCAACTACAGTGCTGTGAAGAATGTCTTTTCTCCTTACAGACGTCCTCTTCTATTGCAATTCACAATTCCGAGTTCTGTAAAATGTAAAAATTAACATAATAGCTCTATATCACCTAATTTATTCTGTATGGACACCATAATATACTGGACGAACACAGATAATTGTTTTTTATCTTTATTAGATAAAAAACAATTAGTTTTTAGATAATAACAAAAGTCCAGGTGAACATAACGAAAGTCTAACCATTTACTAGATATATGGCAGCCTAAAACATCTCATGGGCTAAGAAAACTATTTGCTTTCTTGTAGTTTTTCACAGCCTCTTTTGAGAAAAAAGTTCCCAATCATCATATGAAACACAAAAAACATGATAGTTTAAAAAAAAAAAAGCTGCTTTCAAAAAATGATTTAATCCATTAAGAGGAAAAATCTGTTTAAACCAGGCAAGTAA